TAAAGAGTTGATGGGAAAATATCAACATTCCAAGAAGATAAATAAATGCATATTAATTTAAAATACTATATTTAGTGCGGTAGGTACAAATTAGCCCAAAACCAACCCCATAAACTTTGATAACAACATTTAATGGCTCATGTTGAAAGCTCCCCGCCTCCCCTAGTTTTATTTCCTCTCTCTCTCTCTCTCTCTCTCTTTCTCTCTCTCTTTAATCATATTCATCCTAGGCAGGCATTTTCTTTCTAAGCTGTACTTTGTTTTGTAGCAGTAAACTAATACATGAAAAAGAGTGTTTTTCAAAGTTAGTATGTGGAACATAACCGAGTCAGCACTCCCATGCTGCTCTTGGTAACAACAGTAGGCAACAGAAACAAGGTCCAACATAACACAAACCAGACAGACAGTAAAAAAAAGGGTTTGAGTTTTTCATTTGTTGGTTTGGTTTAGATTCCTCCAAGGGTTCTGGTAACCAAGCCATGCTGTTACTTGCCGGAGATCCACCTTCCAAGTGGGTCATTAAAGTTGCAAACTTGCCACACTTTTGAGGTAAAAGCTTAGTTTTTTTTTCTTCTGTTGATGTTTTGTTCGATGGGGTTTTCTTGATCTGAGTTTTTGAGTTTTCTGTATTGGAGAGTGATCTGATCGAGGTGGGATTTATTTTTTTTGAATATTTTAAAGGTGGGGTTCTTTAATTAGCATTTAACATTGAATTCAATTCAAAGTACAGTAAATACTCTGTCGGTTCAATTCATTGGGTGGTTGGTTAGCTTGATAAAATGGGCTGATTTAAAGACTGTCATATGATTCATACCTTCATTTACTTTCTCAAGTTTTCTCCGTTTTGTCAGGATTATAGGCTAGTTTTGAATTGACAAGTTTATCGTTTAGGAAGAAATGTTGTGTAGCCATGTAAGGGTATGTCTCCTTTTTGTTGTCCAATCCATCTGCTGCTCAGATGCTTAGTTCGGGGATAGTTCATGAACTCCACAGGACTGAAGCTTTTCCCTTTCTTTATCATAAAGTAATCAAGAGTGGTTTTGCTCACCCACTTAGTACGATCTTCTTCAATTTTAAGGGCAAGCAAGCTTCTAAAATTTGTGGTTTTTTCAGTTTCTTCACTTGGTTTCGGTCTGGGTTATGTTCCTTGGGAAATTAGAGCTTGAAGTATAAATTTTAATTGAGTTACTATCATAGCATATGTCTTGTTGAAGCTTCTTCACTTTTGAGGATGATCTCTCCGAGGAAAGGGTTAAAAAAAACAGAGAGGGGGGTGTTTTGAGGTCTTATCAGGTTTATTTATATAATTATTCTTCTTGAAATTATTGAAGCGCAGTGTATGGCTGACTTCTTTCTTCGTTTTGTAGAGCACACTGTGGCTGTTTGAATCACAAGGATGTATAAGAATCAGCTGCAAGAGCTAGCTCAAAGAAGCTGCTTCAACTTACCAGCTTATGCTTGTATTCGGGAGGGACCGGACCATGCTCCTCGCTTTAAAGCCACTGTCAACTTCAACGGGGAAATCTTTCAGAGCCCAACTTTTTGCAGTACTCTCAGACAAGCAGAGCATGCAGCTGCTGAGGTTGCACTTAATGTGCTTTCAAAGAAAGGTCCTTCTAGAGCATTGGCTGCAAGAGTATTGGTATGTGCTTAACTTATTGCTTCCTTTTTCTTTAATTAGTTTCTTACCTACTAGCCCTAAGTTTTTCAATTGTTTCAGATTTGGCATTCCTTCTAACATCTATGTCCACTGAATTTAAATGGGTTTATAAGCTCTTCATGCTAGATGATATAAGAAATCTCCTCAAGCTCCTTATTTAAGTAGAAACTTACTATGATCATAAATTAGGTTGAAATGTTTTGGCTTTTGCCTCTTGCCTTCCCATGCATTATTTTATAATATTATATATGAAGAGTTGGCCTTTGCAGTACATTTTTACCACCTCCATAGGTGCGAAGAAGTTCGCAAAAAAAAGTGGTGGGCAAGACACATTTTGGAGAAAATATAATGAATTTCCAGTATTATGGTTTTTAAATGTGGATATATTCATGGATGTCAATATAACACAAAACACATCATGAGGTAACTTTATGGAAGATGCAAAACATGGCTGATGACAAAAATGCCTGCATTCTTTCATGAGAAAGCTGTTATCAATAATGTTTCTTTCATGAGAAAGTTGTTATCAATAATGTTTATGCAATGGAATGTTAACTAATCCAAACTCGCATGCCTTATTACTTAATGATTATGAGCTTGTATTTGACTGTTATATAGATGCTGTGCTGGAAAATATGAAAGTGCACAGTTCAAATGACAGAAGAATAAGGAAAATAGTACTTGATAAATAATCACAGAAAATATCTGAATTAAGTTTTTTTTTCTTTTTCATGTCTATTCTAACTGCTTTGCTATGTAAGAAACAAAGTAGGAGGCTTCCTATAGTGTTTCAGTCCAGGACAAGTAAAGACTTGTTTCCTTTGGTTTGTTTTATTTTTCTACATGGGTTGTAATTATTACCATTCTCCTTTCCTTTTAGATATTGTTTGAGAAACATTACTTCAAGTGCTACACATGTTTAATTATTTCAACAATGCAGGATGAAACTGGAGTTTATAAGAATCTGCTTCAAGAAACAGCTCATAGAGCTGGGTTGAAACTTCCAGTTTATACAACTGTTCGATCTGGACCAGGCCATGTCCCTGTTTTCTCTTGTACTGTGGAGCTTGCTGGAATGAGCTTCACTGGGGAGACTGCCAAAACCAAGAAGCAAGCTCAAAAAAATGCAGCAATGACTGCTTGGAGTGCTCTGAAAAAGTGTATGTATATTTTCCTCCTGGTTCTTTGGGCTGTCTTTCACAAGTAGAAGGTACTGTTGCGGTGGCTAGCCATAATGAAAGGAAATAAAATAGAAATGAACACACTATGCTTACTGAAGAAGTAAGTCCATATATATATATATATATGCCTTTCTCATTTATTATTTGGTTCCTCGTGTTGCTGATGCAGTGTCAAAGTCAGGTGCTTCACCCGCTTCTCCTTCATTAGAATCTGGGAGTAATGATGAGCAGGAACAGCTAACTGTTGCCTGTTATCTTGCCTCCCTCCAACCACCAGAGACAAACAAGTCATCACCGAGATTCCAGCATCATGGACATAGTTCAGCTCCCATCCAGAGGGATGTAAGCCGATATGGTGGTAATACATCATTGTTTTCCTTACAGCATAGAAATTGTGCACGTTCTCAAATCTCCCCAGCAGTATCTATGTACCAAGCATGGCTTGAAGAAAAAGCATACCATAATCAGAACCACCTCTTGGCACTTTCTTCTCTACCTACCTCTCCACATAGACCTCAGATTGTTCCATATATTCATTCTGTATTCCAACCAGACCATAGACAGTATTTCCTATCGCAGGAGCCAGACCCCATTTCCCTTGTTCCAGGAATCAGCCCAGTTCTATACTTTTCAATGCATCCAGTGCCTGTCCCTGTTAAGAGTATATCCCAAGTCACCATACAAGAGATAGAGGAAAAACCGCAAGTGGAAGAGGAGTGGTTTAGTGGTGATAGGGATTCCAATCACTGGGAAAAAAATTATCTATCAGTTGCATCAGCGCCTTCTCCAAATACTGCTATAAATATTTTGGGTTCTCTCAATAGTTACTCTGAGCAGAGACTTCAGGAGAGGCTGGAGGGGCAGGATGAAGAGAGGAGTGGCAGGACAATGCCAAATGCTGGATGCTCAAATCAACTAGAAAGGAACCAAATTGAACAATATTGGATTTCCTCCGGGTTCACAGATTCCAGGCTTAGACCACAAGCAACGAGCACAGATAAGGCAAACTTGGCATTACGAAATCCACATGCCTTAGACTACTGGCAATCTAATGCTAGGCCCCAAAATTTCCCTGTTGTTGGTTCTGCAACTTCAACAAGGGGTTGTTTGCCAGGATCATTTGCAGCCCCTGTGATGGTCAGAACAGCTGGTACTTCATGTCCTATTACTTTCAGACCTGAAAATTTAAACCCCCGTATGCCTACTCCACCACCAAGAAGAATTACTGCTTCTACATGTTCCAGAAGGCCAGGGCTAGAAGGTATGAAGAATGCTGGAGTGATGCCGTCAGCTAGTTTCATTGCACCAGCAGTTCAGATTAGATCAGTTGTGCCGGTCTGTTCAGCTCCTCCTGCCAAAAAACCTCCCGGTCCCATCCAAGAGAGATTGTTTTCTGGTGCTCAGTCGAAAAAGGTTGAACCAACAGGAGAAATTTCGGCTCAAAGTGTGGACTATGGCAAACTTAGTATGTGAGCAGTTGGAGTTTTTCTTCTGTTCTTTTTGTGCATCCTTTAGTTACAGGCAATTGCTGAGAGAATTTTACAAGTCAAATCGGTATAATATATAAAGAAAAGAAACGAAATAAGAGAATCACAGAAATAAAAAGCCTCTATTTTTTGTTACTTCTGTTGAAGTAAATTCAGCTGTCTTCTGACATCAAGAGGAAAATTCTGCTTGCATGAAACTTAACAGATGCTTTTGCTATTTGATGTACTATAATGTATCATTGCTGCCCTGGCTGGGAACATTGTATCACCATGGGAATTTAGATTTAAACCAGCTGAAGCAAACGAAATGCGTCGTGGTGTGGGTTTGATCATGCTTTAGGGCTTTCGTGATTTCCAATGTGGCTCATTGATTTAGCTTACCAATGCCTAATTTTAAGCCTAAAGAAGGTGCCTCTCAAGCCTTGATCATGTGATAAATAGATAAAAATATAGACTAAACCTCATGGTAAACATTACCCATTTTCCCATTTCCTTTCCCTTGGAAAAGGGCAAGGAAAAAGAGGCCCAAGAGCACGGAATTATTGGGCCAAGATTGCCCGTTTATACTATGGACAAGTGACGTCCGTCAAACGACGCTGTTTTCAACTTTTAACTCCCAAGCTCAGGATCTCAAAAGGGACAGCAAACGGCCCACGTTGCAAGAATCAAGACGGTTAACTTGCGTGTGATAACAATATCCAACATTAACAAGCATCTGAACTTCTGACTTCCCAGTTTTTCCGACAAACTCAAAAATCTACTTTTTTTTTTTTATTAAATCCCACCTTCGGAAGGAATAGTATGTTTTTGAGTGATTGATTTCATCATCATATCTTCCCATTCCAAAAATTCAATCGCCACCCAAAGGCATGAAGCAATCAGATTGCACATACAGCTCACTTCCAAACGATGTAGCTCTCAAGATTGCTTCTTCCCTTGAGGTTTGCTCTCATTTCACTCATTTTGTTTTCCCACAGGGTTTCAGTTTTCATTGTTCTTTTTCTTCTTTCTGGGTGTTTTTGGAATGTGAAAGAGATTTCCGTTTTGGTTTGTTGGGCCGTCGGGGTTTTAGGTGCCGGATCTTTCCTCGTTGGGTTGTTGCTCTCTGGTTTGGCGGGATTTATGTGGGTCGGATTGTTTATGGAAGTCACTTGTCAGAGAAAGATGGCCTCTTTTGAACGAAGCTGCCTTGCAAGACCCCAACTTCAAGGTTGTACTTTTACTCTTTTTCTTTCGTTTTTTGTTAGGTTTTTATGATTAATTATATGTAATTATGGTGATTTAGCTGTGGAGTTGTTGATTAAAGCTTGATTTTCTGTTTCTCATATCGGTTGATTTGGTCTAATTGCTTTTGTATCATAGCTTTGAAGTGGGGTTTTCATTTTCCTTTTGTAATGTCATTCAAGTGAAGTTATGAGTTTTTGGGGGGTAGTGCTAATTAGGTAATTCAATTCCTTGTATTGGTTTGAAGATTTTGAAAATGATGGTAGGGGTGGAGAGGATTTTACAAAAAACAGCACAAGGAGGTGGCCGGTAGGGCTGCATCTGTTGTTAAATTTGTGGAACAATGCTCACTATCTGAGTCACTCGACGTTAGTAACTATCTGAAAGCAATTGAATGCCTGAGGTCAATGCAGTTCGGATTTAAAGATGTTCAAATGGTCCTGTTCAAACCAAAGCTGAACGTGTTACTTAACCTGGTTGGACTACACTACTGCCTTAATTGCCTCCAAGTGCCGGTAACTTTTCCTTTTTGCGGTTCTCTTCTGTTTGTTTTATTTAGATTGAAATATATGTTTTTGCTGTCTCTGTTAAATGTTAAAACTGCGAAAACAATATTCCTTTGAAATCTGTGGTTTAAGTTATGCTACTTCAAAGGCTAGGTTGACTACACAACTCGATAAAACCAGCTTGGTGATAGGAGGAGGGGCATTGGGATAGACCTGAAACATAATTAGTAATGGATAGTCGATCAGTATTGGTTGTTTATCTGTTATAGATTATGCTTACAGTGGAGACTGACTGTAGTAAGCTCTGAATCAGTTCTCTAGCAGTTAGTGGATAGGAAACTTGTTCTTTTTGGTGATGACGACGGAACATTAAATGATTTCCCATAAGTAGGCATGCATCCAAAAGCTAAACTGGTCTGCTACTTTTTTAGGCAATGACGTTCTCTATAAATTTAAAATTATATCTTTCTATATGTTTTGCAATCAATGTCTTCACCCTTCCTGCCTTCCATATCACACTCTTGCGGTAGAGGTAATGGGCCTTCTGTCTGCCTTGGGTGTTAGGAGACATAAAACGAATAACTTGATTGGGCATTCCGCCCATCAATTGACACTTACTTTAGCTTGCTTCTTGTAGCCTTCGTTATGCCACATGCTTAATCATAATTTTGTGCTTAATGATGTTTTAACATCATAATGGGAAGGCTTCACATGTCACGGAAGCACTTCAGAGTAGCAAGATTTCTGATCGTCAAGTGTGTGTCAAGTGGTGGAAGCTTGGCAGATGGTTCTATGGTTTCCGCATGCGAGATGAATCTCATTCTCGTTGCATCTCTCTCCAAGATCTTGCAACAGCGAAAGAAGAGGAGGTGCTGGGGGTACTTGAACGAGGAGCCATTCATGAGGTTTTACAAGTTCAGATATCCGTTGCTGAGTCCACGAGCAATCTCTGGTCTAATCAAAGCCCTCAATGATTGGGTTAGATAATTGGATAATGATAAGCAGATGTACACAGTGTTAATGACTCATCATTGTATGATCTATACTAGTGAGTATCTAAGTTGATGTGTGTGTATATCTACTGCATACTATTTGACTTATTTCAAATTTTTTAAATAGAAAATGTTAATATATTTGTGATTCTGTGATCTTTGTAAGTTGTAACAATGAGGAATTCAGTAGTATAAATTTACTGAAACCCTTTGCGTCCTGGCAGTTTCTCCATTTACTGGTTTCATCATTCAAAAATTTGTTCTCCAGAGAACATAGGATCAAACAATAGGGAGTTAATTTAGTTCTGCCTCAACTTGCTGACAACATGGCTAAAGAGGGTGTAAGGAGACATGAGGACTGTGTTCTCGTTTTTGATTGAATGTCCATGCTCTATGTAGGAGAATGCTCTTATGATAGGAAGGCCAGGTGAAGATCATCCAGGGAGCTGTTGTCAAAGGTTCAGGCTGTGTTCTTGTTTTGTTTGATAAGGATAACCCAAATCTTGTTGTGAAGGAGGTTTGATGATTCACCACTTTCTTGCATGCTACACCTGAATGGTTGGAGAGCTGGTGGTTTGGTAAGCTGTTGATCCCTCTCAACAGGTATATCTCTTTCTTTTGACTTTGGAGGCGGGCTTGGTTTGGGTGAGGTTTTGGGATGTGTTTCTTGCTATGATGCTGATGAAGTTATGTGGTAATGTTTATATGCTTATTTTGAGTGAATCAGGTTTTTGTATACATGTGATAGGATCGGTGATTTTTGACTGAAGAGGTGTATAGATTCTGTGTAGATTCCTGCCTTGGATGGCAAGGGTATTTTGTATAGGGAACGAAAGGGATACTTTTGCTGTGTGGTTTTCTTGCAAAGCTTGGATTTTAAGTTGATATGGGTCTATTAACAATTTAAAATCTGGTGCTGCCCTTGCACTCTTACAGGAATTTGATTTGAATCCCTGTTGTGCTGAAATGAAATGGCCATTTTTCAAAAAAAAAAAAATTGCAACCAGAAATAGATGAACCATTGCATCAGTTTCCACCAAAATTGAGGGAAGAATAATGGAAAAAGCATATGGAAACTGGGTCAACTGTGAAGGGTAAGTCTAGCAAGCCCTTCGGATTGCTTGACACCGTCAAAGTTGACGGCTTCCTTGAGGTGGAAAGTCCACACAAGCTCATTCTAGGCTTCCTAACTTCGTTCTCTGACCCTGGCAATTACCAGAGTTCATCTGAATGACATGTTAAACGAGAAATTGCCAGAATTTGCAAGTGAAGCTGGAAATCAGTTCCATATTTTGACAGAAGAATTCATAAAGGCAAGAAGAAGAGGAAACAACAATGAATCAGATTATACAAACATGTTCTACAACTATCCAGATGTATCCATCTCCATGCTGCAAATGAACTAACAGCAGCTTTCAATTGAAACATAAAAAAGTAGGAGCTTCCAGATTCTTACAAGTTAAACTGTCATCGTATCTTATTTGCTGCAGTAATGAGACACTTGAAAGAGATTAAAGAAAACATGAAATGAATCAAAGCTTTCAACGGCAACGGTGGACAGCATAAACAGTACGTCGTGGTTGTGGGATGCAGAGAGCCATGAGCACTAGAGCTATGATTAACACCATGAAAATTTTAGTGAGATCAAAGCCACCATCATCATCATCAGATTCCATGCAACATAACTTCCCCATTGTAAAACCCTTGCTGCCTCAAAATCTTCCGGGTTTCTTCTTTGTTTCCTGTGGGAACATATGATGAAATGAGACATGTTAAGGAAATAGAAGTAGAAACCTCAGGCTACAAGTCAAGTTGACTTGGAATAGTGTATTGTGGAGTTGATTTCTGTGAACATTGTACTAATAACAATATAAAATTTGGCCTCTTGGATTAAATAATCATTACTCTGGGGGTTGTAAATCTTATTTTGCTTCAGAAGAAAGTACTGTTTTTCAATTGTAGACAGTTGGGAATCTGGAGCTCAGAAAAGTTAAAATCTGAGATCTGATGTGAAGTTGAATAAAGGAAAATGATTTACAGAAATTGCTTTTCTTTCCTAACCACAACAATTAAACCAGAGGTGACTAGCTGCCAACCTCTTAAAACTCATTAATGATTGAAGAACTAACGCATCAATTCAAAGGGATATTCCTTGGGGAAAGGCAACGAGAAAAAAAATGGGAAAGAAAAGCATGTATAGGAAACTAAATGAAATGAGTAACTTTGTTGTTCTACTCCTTCATTTTCTCCCTTAAAGGAAGGGATTAATCTGGAATCTAGACAACAAACAAAGATCATTTAAAATCCTGAAACTACTTGTCTCTAACATCTCTTAATGTTGGGTACTTAGATCTATCTTTTTCTATTAATATTAATGATGCCCTAGCATACAAAATGAGTATTGATGATGCCATTGACTGGATGACACAGTATCTCTTCCTGCTTGCACTCAAGGATGAAGGCAATAACCCAGTGCATCTGAACAGATTGGACCCCATTTTACTTGGAAGATCACATGCCAACTGCTTTAATTATAGTTAATTTTATGAGGTAGCTTTCTTAACAGTTGGCCTTGAGAAAAGATTGATTAGATAACTCAAACACTATAATTAACTTAGTCTGATAAACCACGATGGCACAAATTTAATATGATAATTCTGTTTGGTGTGGTGCTGAAGGTTCCTCCTCGTCTCGAGCTTATGACAGTTGACTGAAATCGATTGGCTGTTCAACTACATTTCCGTTGGATTTGTTCATTGATCAAATTCATCAAGAACCCTGCAATTGGAACTTGTTGGTAAGCATGTTGTGTCAAGGCATAATTTTCCATCATGGCTTTATGCATGGAGTGATAAAAGTTTTTTCGAATTTAAATTGGATATCGTTTTAAAACTTTAGCACTATCAGAACAGACACTGTCCTCATTTGTTGATTATTTCGTGCATTAGTCTATAATTCAAACCACTAAAAACATGTTTTAAGTATAAGACACTACTCCCCAAACTGAATATGTGCCAAAGTGTGATTACTTTAATCATTATGTTTTGTAAGTTCAGACACATAAATGAGTATTTGCGACACTGATGAAGAAAGGCATGATGATTGATGGCAGCTCCATGGTCAAGAATTCAGCATGGAACATAATTCCAGTTTCTTCCACCATAATTCAAAGATATCCCAGCAATGAAAGATAAAGGCAATATTTAGTCTGACACTCCAAGGAAATTAGCCAAGCTAGGAATTAGGGTACATCGGCTCCCATCCTAATTCTTCACGACTTTTTGTGTTGTTTTAACTTCTTTCCGAAAGGACCACTAGTACCTGCAAAACACCAAGATATGTGCAGTTGATGGAAGCTTCAAATACCATAGAACCAGAACCATATACAAGGACAGCAAAAACAAGAAAAATAGGGGGGAAAAGGGTTCCTAGGAAAACCCAAAATAAGAATAAAATATCGAATGCTTGCCTGTAATAAACAAAAGGATTATGTCTTGATCCTTAATGATTAGTGACATAGATTGTGTACTTTTCCAAGTGTAAACAAGAAGCCGACTGTAAAGGCCTCATACTTAAGGTTAATCTAATTGTCGGATAGCTCGTTTCAAGATATCTTATACTGAAAAAGTTCGGGATGTGGTCAAAAGTTACGAAAAAATGAGGCCAAAAGATGTATGGATACGCATCATCATCTTCTGTCCCGATACAAGAGAACAAAGGATGATTGTCACAACCCAAGAAAAGCTAGCCACGAAGTTTCTTCTTCAGGACTGCATCTGAGAGGGAAGCTGCATCTGTTACCTACTGGACAAGTTGGTATCTGCCAATTACATTAATGAAATCGTCTTTGTCGATGAATGAACAAAAATCATTTGTTAAAATAATGATAGAAACAGGACTGAACAGTATGTTATTCAATGCTTGAGAGTATTGCAGCAAACAGATGGAAGATAACTTGAAATTCAAGATGGAATTGGGTTTTTTTAAAAAAGGTAGAGATGAAGAGATTTGAGAAGTGCCCGGCACAGGGTCTAGCTGAAATGACAGCAAAGAAATAGTTGCCATTTACTTAAGAGATCTTAAGAAAACAAAACTGAAGACATAAAGAAGAGTCTTTTTGAGTTTAGACTGGTAAAATAGAACCAGAGCAACTGCTGCAAAGGATTTAGTTGAAGGGGGGGTGGAGATTTGTAACAACCAATGAAGAGGCTACATGTAGAACATTGTGTTCCTTTGGTCTGACTTTCTCGGCTATTGATTGGCTGTTGGCTGTTATGCAACAAAGAAGGAAATGCAACAAAGAGGAATAAGGAAGCTTTAGAAGGGAGTACGGCCATTGGAAGCTTGAACACAGTCCTTATCAAATGAAAATCAATCAGTCAAAAGGCATATTTTAAGAACAACCCAACTGAAAATGTGCCAAGTATGGAATTTTTATTATTAAAACTTTAGTGTGAATGTTCAGAAACTGTACATGAACAAGTATTTGCCAGAATTGATTGGGAAAGGAAAATAGAAATGTCACAAGAGAATGCTAGCAAAATATTCCCTATGCCAACTAATCGAGTTTCTTCCACCATTAATCCATTCAATCTTGGAAATGAAGATGAAGGTATGGGTTTATTCTGACACTCCAAGGAAGTTAGCAAAGCTAGGATATTTTGGCTCCCATCCCAATTCCTGACGAGTTTTTGTGTTGTTCAACTTCCTTCCCAAAGGATCACTAGTGCCTGCAATATACAATATATGCCGGTTAATGCAAGTTTTTACATAGCGAAGAACCAAAACTACAATAACAAACAAAACCAAGAAGAAAGATAGTAGGGGCAATAAATGAGGAGCCTATGAAAACCTTCAGAAAAGACGAACAGAAGAATCAAATATAGAATGTTTGCCAATGATCAATAACCTTTATGTTATATAAACAGAAATGCAATTGTTGATCTGTCATCAATGATATACTTTTTCAAAGTGTAAATAAGAAAAAGCCACCTGTAAAGGCCTCAAACTTTTTGCTGAATTTCCCGCTTTTTTCAACCAAGTCCATTACTTCCTGCCTGTAGAGAAAGTAACAGAGCGAGAAGAAGTCAGCAAAGTAAGCAATTTTGATTGACTTGCTGCTATCAATCTAGTTCATTATGAAAGCTATTAGGGATATTCCCAAAAATTAATGTAGATAGTGTTGCAAAAAATATCTTGAAACAAGTTGTCATCTGTCCTAGTATAAAAGAAGACAACCTGGACAAAGGATGATTGTCACAACCCAAGAAAATCCGACCACGAAGTTTCTTCTTCAGAATAGTTACTGATAGGGAAGCTGCATCCTATTACCAAGTATACAAATAGACATCAACACCAGTCAAAGTACCTAACTGACGCTGCAAATCTCAAAAAAAGAACTGTCTGTCTATGAACAACAACGAATTAAAAATTTGGAAAAACCATAAAACAAAAATGAGTACTTTATTTCAATGCTTCATAATATTGTAATAAAGAACTGGAGAGAATGTGCACATGCAGAAAAATAGACCTGCTATTCATATAATGTGAATAGAAGTAATAAAAAGTGAATTTTTACCTCATAGTGTATAAGATTCAGGATGTGATCTGGACGGGAATCAACAGTCCCCTTCTGTAACCAATAGAAATGTGCACCTCTATCTAATTTGTATAAAATGTTAAGGCCATCATGAATGCAATATTGATTACATCCACAAGTCCATGAAACATATATACATATCTCTTCATAATTTAAGTCTGAAAAGGATATATAAAGTCCAGCCAACCTAACAACACAACCACCAAAGTCCAACACCACTTTTTCAGCCTTGAGAAGAACATCTGTTCTAGGGCTTCTGCCAATCGGTACGGTTGGTGTGTCCTGTAAAGAATATTAGATCTGTGACCTTTCAAGTTAATATACAGCCAAACTAGACAAATACAGAAGGTAGGACACTATAGTGATGCATCTCAAGTCATGAAAGTAAACTGGCATTATAATTCAGAAGTCATGATGCATTTCCACACTTATTCAGATAGGGAAAACTGCCTTACATGAAAAATTAGAAGAATAAAAATTAAATTGCTACCAGCAGAACAATGTGTTATGTTAAATGTAACACCTCATCACAAGGTCCATTGTCATAGCAATCAAAAGGTGCAGAGCTCGATGTGAATAAGAAAGAACCTTCACCATTCCAGCTTAAAGCAGCCATCCTGCCTCATTCAAAGCCCAAACCAATAGCACAATTTCAGTTAAATAAGACAAAGTAACCAATTCAAACTTTGCTATTAACAGGAAATCCAAAATTCCTCATTCAGGTAAGCTTTTCGTACAGCTCCTTATCAGTGACTACTACCATAAAATACCAATATGGCCAGTTATTATAAACAACAGAAACGCAGAACAGGTAGCGAAAATTTTCTCATAAGTACCTAATATCACCGGGGTAATCTGGGGTTTTTGAAGGAGGAGCACAGAAAATCACATAAGGAAACTTCTGATCAGTTTTATTCCCTTTCAAAAATGGATTAATCCCCATTGTCATTAACTCATCGTGGTGATCCGTCGTCACAGTTTGCCCATAAATTTGACATCCGGGATTTTCCTGGTTCAACAACATATATAATAACTGCCTTCCTTCCAAATAACACCCAAAAGGCTAAAACCCGTCTAGCATATCCTTATCGTTATCCGAGAAAACCCTTTGAACTTCAACCCTTGAAACTACATTGAATGAAATTAATGCTGGAATTTCGTGAAGAAAATCGGAGGTAAGAGAGCGTTGACTGAATTAAGGTAAGCAATCAAACAGTTAGTTTACCTCCCTCCATTTTTCAGCCACTAAGCGACCAAGAACACCGGGTCCCACAATTAGCAGATCATTCTCTCCCACCATTCCAGACGACGCCATCGCCTCCACTGGCTCACTTATCTCATCTTCCTCAAACAAAAAAAAATCCCAGATTAATAAAAAATAAAGTCAAAGCAAATTAAAAAAAATAGTCAAAGAGAGAGTGTGTGTGTGAGAGAGAGAGAGACCAACTGTGGACGAGGCTGAGACATGAAGAGAAGCAGCCATTGATGATGAGAAGGTGAAGCTTTTGAAGATGCGAATTGGGTTGTTGAAAAACGGTGGCGACGATGATGATGAACAGATTGAGTTTTTCGAGAAACTCGCGAAGTTGGAGAAGTGACCATGACTGACGCAAGAAATGGTTCCCATTTACTCAAAAAATTAAAAAAAAAAAACGAAATTAGAAGAAGATAAAAGGAGTCTCTCTCTTGCGGTCGATCTTGATGAACATTGATTTGCCCTTGACTTTCTTGCACGAAACGAAGTGGATTGTATTGTCTTAGCTTCGAGTACCTACCCAGGTGGAGGATTTTGTTCTTCGTCACAACCAATAAGCTCATTACACGTGGTGTATTTGTGGTTGGGTGGGCTTTTATATCGGCCTCTGATTGGTAGTTTCGTTTTGTCATTTCATAGAACTGACTTATGTTAGGGTTACCGGTTTTAACTCGCAAAACGACGTCGTACCGCTTTGGATTGTCTTAACTCAAAAGAACGTCGCCGTTTGGAATAAACAATTCTGCATATGGTAAGTTGCTATAATAATTTCGTTAACTTCTTGCGGAAATTAATATATGGGAAAGATTTGGTTTTGGAATTTTCTAAAGATGTGAAAGAAAATAAAAGTACATACCGTAATAAAGTGCAGTTTTATAAACAAGAAGAATTCAAAGTTTTTTAATTTGGATTTTCTTTTCGAGCAAAGTCCACAATAAAGGTAAATATTATTTTTACTCTTTATAATTTCAATTATCTTCATACAGTGACGAAGTCAGGATTTCATATTTTAAAGTAAATAAAAAACATATCAATTGTGGAATTTTGGGACAATGAAGCTTACAAAATAATTCTATTGTGATATATTTTATTTTAATCTCTAAATTTATTAAAATTAATTGTTGGCTAATCGTTATGGAGCATTTCACCAAATAAAAATTTTATTATCAAAATAAAACTATAAATTTATTTTTATATATATACTATAGAATTTCAAAACTTTTAGACATATAGACCTTTCCTTAACCAATATTCCCATGTCATTTTTTAAATTAATAATTTGTCGATAAATTTTCATTCTCAAAAAGAGTTACAGTTTTAATTTATTAATAAATTTATCAAAATGCTCTTAAATATGATCAAATATACTAACTTTTAAATCAAGAGTATTTTGATAATTTTTTTTATAAAATTAACTATATAACTTATGTTAGCAACACAACTTACCCATAAAAGAACCCATAATCGACTAATTGAAA